CGGAATGTAGCGACGGATATATTCCGTCGCCAAGCCAAAACGCAGCGTTTCAATAAAATTCCGTTCGCGACGGAAATATTCCGTCGCTAAAACTAACGACGCAAATTTCCGTCGGTAAATCCGTCGTCAAAAAAGCCGCGCACAACCTCCCGCCAATACCGAGCGACGGATCTTTATTTCCGTCGTTACTCTTGGTTGGCGTTTTATTCCGTCGCTAAAGCCGTCGCTACTAGCGTCGAACGAAATTCCGTCGCTGCAATCCGTCGTTGTTTTGGCGTTTTCTTGTAGTGTGCCGCCACCAGCTTCCCTCATGTCAATCTCTCATATGGTCATCCTTACCCTGAAAAAGTAGATTTGCTAAAGGTCGCGTATCTACTGCAATTGAGAAGGTACGGGTGAAGTTCACCCAAGCGAATCTCATCATGGCTTATCGCCGATATGACGTTGCTACTATTAACTACTACTGACCATGAAAAAATGCACAAAAACCAAGGCTGGCTATAGAGATTGCTAGGTCCTAGCATTTGGAAGGGAGTAACAAAGTTGATGGTGATGAATTGTTGGGGTCACCGCCCATAAGGATGTTTCCGAAATTACTTATGGAGCTTGTGATCTAGATGAGAGGATATTTGCGTTCCAGCCCATGGTTAATGGCTAAGGGTGATTAACTCCTACTTTGGGGGTTTTATCTTTCAACTCTTATTTTGAGATTCTATCAATGTTTTACTCCTATTTTGTTCCTTAACCCAAGTAATTGATGTCTTGTAAAGCACTTTAATAACATTATAGGATAAGGTTCTAAAAACAACACATTATAGGAAAAGGCGTGCAAAATCCATTATGTTCCTAAAATATCGTGTTCTTCAATTTTGATCCCTCGAGCATAATCAATTTTGATCTTTTGAATATGACATTCATCAATAATTTTGGTCTCTTACGCACCCTTAACAAATCAGTTTTCAAAATTTCAATGGTGAAAGATAATAATGTATTTTTATTTATCAAGATATTCAACAATATTTAAATCTCATATACCATGTTGAATATGCTTAGGTTCGGTCTCGAAAATTGAAGGGCTTAAAACAAAATGAAAAAATAGATCCTTAACCCTAATAAATTAACTTATATAAACTTAATTTATCATAGCATTCTAATTAAAAACCATTATAGTTATCATAAAACGTAAGATTTTATATTTATTTTTTTAAAAAGTATTTTATATACATTTAAAAAATTAATGATTTTGAGCCCCAAAAATAATAGACCAAGGTCCGTTGGTCTACTTCGCCGGCCGTTAATATGATAATATGAACAGTATATACTTTAAATTTAAATTGGCCTCATTATGTATTTGGAACACCCTTTGTCTATTTATAGGGAGAAAGACCAAACTAGGACCAAAACATTGAAAATATACCAAAATAGGACTTTCATGTTTTTATTCTCGAAATAGGACTTACATTACCAAACATGGTCATATACATTACCAAAAAAGTATAGTAATTTGCACATGTACACTGCCACATTACCACAGTACAAAGTCACATTACCACAGTGCAAAGTCTTATTCCGGGAAAAAAAACATGAAAATCCTATTTTGATACTTTCTCTATGTTTTAGTCCTATTTAGGATGATTTCTACTATTTATACCGTGTTATCTGAGTTGGAAAAACAGAATTGAGTTTTGGAAAAACCTGAAAAAATTATGGAAAAATTAAAGAAACTAGAAAGAGTTAAGAAACTGGAAATAGTTTGAAAAAGTGAAAGAAAGTAAAAGAAATTGCAAAGAGTTTAAAGAATTTGGAAGAAGTTGGATGAAACTGGAAGGAGTTGAAAAAAACTACCTAAAAAACTAAAAGAAACTAGAAAGAACATAAAATTGTTAGAAAAAAAAGTTAAAATAAATATTTCAGAGTAGTATATATTTGAAATTTCATATTTTTATTAAATTAATTTATACTTAATTTATTTCAATTTTTTGTCTCTTTTTTTATTTTTTTGTCATTATTTTTGTTGCAATCATATGTACTCCCCCTGTCTTAAAATGTTCTTCTCGTTTCTGTTTACGAGGCTTGACCAACTTCATTTTCAATAAAATTTATTTTATTGTAGATGTAAAATTTAAAAATAAAATTTATATATTTAAAAACTATAATAAAAGCTCTACAAAACAAGAGGTGACAAGACTATTATTTATCAAATAATTAACGAAAATAGGTAACATTATCCCAAGTCTTTCCTAAGGTAGTAATATACATGAAAAACATTGAACTCATAGTAATTTCACCTATTGATAAAGTTAAAAGATTCATTCCATGTGATGTTGTTCTACTGCATGAAAAAAGTAATTGAACACGTTCAGAAGTTTTATTCCATCTGTCCTAAAAAATCCTCATGTTAACTATTCACCTATTGTTATATAAATCCTTCAGTGTAGTTTTTAAACATCAAAATTTTGTTTCTAATTTCTATACTAATTTTGAAATAAATCAAATTGAAAATAAATTCAAGTAAAGCATCACAAATTGCAACGTCAAGGTTCTTTCAGGACGAGAGAAAATAGGGTTTTCATTGGGTTTCCCTATATTGGGCACTTATGGCGCACAGTGTGTGATCCTAGCTAGTGATTAACATCGCAGCCTATGTTCAGATTGCTGACTCCAAACACTGGTCTACTTGGAGCCAATACAATCAAGCAAGCCTAGTGGGGGTCACATTGGGAGGGTAATATGTAGGGTATGTTATTTTTAATTTTATATTCCAAAGACTTTCAACTTCAGTCTCTATGTTATTTTTAATTTTATATTCCAAAGACTTTCAACTTCAGTCTCTATATTCTAGATTCCATACTCCAGCTATCAGGCTTCAAATTCTTATTTTCAAGTTTTAGTTAAAGTTACTACTACATTTGGAAACCAGACTCAAGACTCTAATATCCAGACTCTAGACTCCAAAATTCAAATTTTTAGTTAAAATTAGGACATAAAGCATCCTCGTAATGCCCTTTTGTCTATTGTTTGCAATTTTTCGTTCTCGCTATCTTTGTACTATTCGTCAAATTATGTGTGGCCTAAAATCATTATTGTTAATTCATTTTTTATGAAATTAGTATCACTTTTTTTTACTTTGCATCTCAAACCCCAGCCTCGGAAAACTAGAGGGAGTGTGGAACAGTGGGAGTAATTGATAAAAGATAGATTAAGAGGAGTTTCTAATCATTATATATTTTGTTTGTCTATTAAGCCGGCAATTGAAATGTAATGTGGCATTAAACTGATATGAAGAAGTGAAACAGGGAGTTGTTGGGCATTCTCGGCCATTGCTGCAGTGGAAGGCATAAACCAGATTGTGACTGGGGATTTGATCTCATTATCAGAGCAGGAGCTTGTGGACTGCGACACTTCATACAACGAAGGGTGTAATGGCGGCCTGATGGACTACGCCTTTGAGTTCATAATTAAGAATGGTGGCATTGATACCGAGGCTGATTATCCCTACACTGGTTTTGACGGAAGATGCGACCAAACAAGGGTCAGTAAATCTCGCATATATCCTTACACCACCTATCAATTACTAACTGTTAAGTAAATAAAAATGATTGCCCGTTTGTATCAAGCAGAAAAATGCGAATGTGGTTTCGATCGATGGGTATGTGGATGTTACTCCTTACAACGAGAAGGCACTACAAGAGGCAGTGGCGCGGCAACCAGTTAGTGTCGCCATTGAAGCTGGAGGCCGTGACTTCCAGCTCTATTCTTCGGTAATATTGCACACTTTTTTTTTACTACCCTACACTTTCTTCTCATTCTCAGAATAGAATTTTTCTTCCTCCGTCCCGAAATGAACTTGCCCTTAATATGAAAAATAAAATAGTCAAACAGCATACCTGTAATAAATTGCAATGGAAACTTCATTTTGGAACGGAGGGAGTGTAATTTGCTAAGACCATAGGTGGGACTTAGCCTTGGGCCCTTGGCACATGTAGTCTGAATAGAAAAGAATGAGTGATCATAAATACATTTCCAGGGCATATTCACTGGATCTTGTGGGACAGATGTGGACCACGGTGTGACTGTTGTTGGATATGGTGCCGAAAATGGTGTTGAATATTGGATAGTTAAGAACTCGTGGGGCGCATTCTGGGGAGAAAGTGGCTATCTGAGGATGCAACGTAATGTGAAGGACTCAAACGGTTTATGTGGTATCGCGATAGAACCTTCCTACCCTACAAAGAATGGGGCAAATCCTCCAAACCCTGGTCCCTCCCCTCCGTCCCCTGTTCAACCCCCTAACCTATGTGATGAATACACCGAGTGCTCATCTGGCACAACTTGCTGCTGCGTCTTTCCATTTGGTAACTACTGCTTTGCTTGGGGATGCTGTCCTCTAGAGAGTGCCACTTGTTGCGAGGACCACTACAGTTGCTGCCCTCACGACTACCCCATATGCCATGTTAGACAAGGCACCTGCTCAATGGTAATTGACAAGTCTATTTCTTATCTATATGGCAAAATATCCAATTTATGTATGTAAATTTTCAATGTGTTATATATTATAGTACTTTATTGATCATTGTTATGGCATTCGCTTAATGTAGAGCAAAGATAACCCGCTTGGAGTGAAGGCGATGAGACGCACCCCTGCAAAGCGGATTAGAAACAACAGAATGAAAACGGCGAGTTCTTGAATACTCCCTCCCTGTCTTGGGAGTTTCAAGAGGGTGGAATGAACAAGGCGAAGGCAGGACAGGGGAAGGGATTTTACTCTTAAGTCCCTATCTTGATGCACTGAATCCCAGAGATCATTCCATAGCTTGAAGAACTCGTACGCGAGGGGCTCCATTGATGGCGATCATCATCATCATCATTATCATTGTATATATGCTGCTGTTATATATCCCTGGCATTATATTTTAAAAGACAGAACTCTGAATGGGCAGGTCATTGTTTGGTAGTCGTCTGATTACTATGATGCACTGCCGCTACATAAATATGTTAGTGTATTGTTCCGGCATCCAAACGCTGCTGCTTGTACTTTGTATGTATACTAACAATAATGCATGTACTATAATAATTTCAAGAACCTGTGTCACTATCTTAATTATCTTTTGCCTTTTTAAGGCGTTCACTCACACCACTATTACTCCCAACTTTGAGCCCTATATATAAGCATTTGAGTTTTTTTGTTTTGTTTTTATTTTTCCAATTTCTCTCTTTTCCCATTTTTTAACTCCCACACTTCTCCCTCTTTTCTTTTTTTCTGTTCTTCACTTGTGCGATACCCCTCTTGTTATAGTGCACCCCCTCGTTGTCTTACCTCTGCCTGTGACATGCCTCCACTCTTCCCTACCATTCCCGTTCTGTCTATCTACATGTGATTGCCCTTCCGTGGCTGTCCCCATGGCAACCACTCACGTCGCTTGTCATGCCCGTGAGGGGTGGTGTTTCACCATACTCACGTCATTGTAGAGGGCGCACGCCTCTGCCATGAAGAGGCACTACGAATGGTCTTTAGGGGTGAGCGCGTCCATGATGGTCCGTGATACTACCAACCTATCACGGATTGCTTTTATTAAAAAGGTTCGGTATCAGTATGAGATGAATCTCAAAATCATTTGGTACTGTTCTATTTTGAAACAAAGCGGTACAATACCATAATTATGCCCAAACCGTTCTAAAAAACTTAAACATGCTGATGGATATCCGAGCCAGAGACCTGATAGATAGTAACGGCCCAATTGAAGTTGGGCTGACCTAATAGCTATCACAATCCGATTGTACACTTGGAGGCAAGGCCCGAGAACGGGCCGGGAAGACATCCGATTCAATACCCAAGTAAATGTAATTCCCCGAATCGTGGGATTGATGGGAATGTATAATTGATTCCCCGCCATGATTGACACACGATTGGCAAAATGGCCGATAATGTAGTCCACGACACCACATACCTTGTACATGGTAGATTTAGGCTATAAATAGGAGGCTCATCCTCCATTGTAAGGCAGGTTGAAAGTAGCTAATACAAAAGAGATACGAGACCTAGTATTATTGACATTGTTTATTTGTTCTTCATACGCTATATTTGTTGGGCTACATCCCATCATTGGTGCTTTAATTGAGAGATTAGTGTGAGATAAAATTGTGAGAGTATGGCCTAAGAAAGAACAAGGGTCTCGTAGCAACGCAACGCTGCTCAGTCAAACGAGATTGAGACGGCCCTGAATAACATTGCCAACATGATGGTGAATGTTATGGACAGGCTGGAGCGGGCCCTTATGGGTTCCTAGAAACCAGAAGGGGCAACCGAGGCAGATTCCCCAGATGGCTGGAGGGGTAATCAATCCCATTCTCGGAGAGCTACATACACCTGAGGAGATGGAGAGGGAGAGAGAAGCAGTCAGAAATCCCTGGAGGTAGAAATGACCTGGAATAACCAGGAGCATCAGGGACAACCCCGGACGGTGGGCCGAGCACCGGCACGACTCCGGGTTACTAGCCTGACACATAATGCGGAGACTAGAAATTCGAGAGGCTCGGTGTTTCAGTGGATGTCCCTGGAGCGGATCCCAGTGAGTGAAAGGTTGGGAAAGAACCATGGAAAAGCCCGAGTAGGCTGGGAGCGACCGCAACCGAGTCAGGTGGAATCTTCTCACCGAGAGCAGCACCAGGGAGAGAAAGATCGTAGATCTGCATCTTCTTCTTCTTATTCGATGCAGTACACAACGGCCAGATGGAGCGCGGCGGGAGAGGATACCCCCTTAGCTCTGATTTTCGATGGGAGAAGACACGCGACGAGGAAAGCGATAAACAAAGGCAATTTAGAGTTCACCGAAGGTGACCTAAAAACAATTTCAGTGCCTTGTCCAAAAATTCCATAGTTCAATGGTTGTTTGTTGCTATTAACTCCAAATTTGAGTTGTTCTTCAATTTCTTCTTTGTTTATGCTTGGTTTTTATTTGGTGATTAGATTTTAGTATTGTGTGTAAGTTCTAAGGATTTTGCAGATTTGAGGTTGAATATTTGATACTCCCTCCGTCCAAAAAAGAACTTCCCGGTTTGACCCGGCACGCACTTTAAGAAAATCTGAAATTATCCTTGACTTTCCCATATTACCCTTTAGTGGGTTTGGGCGTGATATGTGCAAAAGAAAAAAGGAAGATAAACTTTTTGATTTGATACATAATGATTAAAATATCAAAAGTAAAAGTACATTGCAATGATTAAAAATCCTTCATATTCCACATTACACGGCACTTTTGAGTGCCCTAATTAGCAAAAAAATTCATTTCCCTCCACAAAGTTAAAAGTTCCCACCCAAATGTAAAGTCTATAAGTACTTTCCATTTTTAGATTTCCATTTTTAGATTTCCAGCACTGCATCATTCTTTGTTTCCTTCTCCACTGCCAGGTTCTTTCTTTTTTTCTTCATTGCCAAATTCTTCCTTTTTGTCTTTGTTTGTTCCTGCCATGTGAGAATTTTTGTCTCCAAACTTCCTTCTCTTCCTACCATGTGAGGGAGCTTTTCTTTTTCCCTTTTCTAGTGCTGCCTTCACAGCCATATCAATCTCCGGGATGGAACCGTCAATACCAACACAGACACTGCACACAGATGAAGAAAACACACAAGGTAAAAGGAAAAAAAAACTGTCAAACTTGGAACGACAAGGAATTATCGACAAGTTGCTACTACAAGCAAAAACAAACATCATGGGCACGCAAACTGCTCAGAGGGGCTCTGTCAAAAGTGTGGCTGCTGAGTTCAATGTTAGTAGAAGGACAATCACTTCGTTGTGGACAACAGCTAAGGAACAACTACAAACAGGCAGTTGCATTGACGTAAGAAGTAGAATGCCAGGAAATGTTGGAAGGAAGAGATGTTTAGTTGACTTGGAGTCCATTTCAGAAGTTCCATTGAG